ACATTGTTATAATTTCCATGACAATAGAGAGCATTGTTACAATTGTGTCATGGCATTGTTAAAATTTCCATGACAATAGAGAGCATTATTCTTAACTGCTATTCAGAGTAAAGTTTCATTTAACGATATTTGTATTATAACAATAGATGCTATTGTGATGCTCCTAGTTGATAACAATAGAGGCTATTGTGATGTTCCTGGTTGATAACAATAGAGGCTATTGTAATGTTCCTGGTTGATAACAATAGAGGCTATTGTAATGTTCCTGGTTGATAACAATAGAGGCTATTGTGATGCTCCTAGTTGATAACAATAGAGGCTATTGTGATGTTCCTGGTTGATAACAATAGAGGCTATTGTAATGTTCCTGGTTGATAACTAATAGAGGCTATTGTGATGTTCCTGGTTGATAACAATAGAGGCTATTGTAATGTTCCTGGTTGATAACTAATAGAGGCTATTGTGATGTTCCTGGTTGATAACAATAGAGGCTAGTGTGATGCTCCTAGTTGATAACAATAGAGGCTATTGTAATGCTCCTAGTTGATAACAATAGAGGCTATTGTAATGCTCCAAGGTCATACCAATTGGCACTATTGTGATGTTGTGTTGTTATAACCGCTTGAGGAATTTCTTGGGATTGATGATATGAATTTGAATCATTTTATTAAAACAATCAAACCATGTACATTTGAAACTAAATGTTAAATTCAGTCTATTAGATCAGTGAATAAATTGTCAAAATCAAATGTGCCAGTGAACTTGATATTGAATTTTTGGTAAAGTATAGTTTGGGGTGAAATTAGGTAATGTGTGATTTGAGTAACATTGTATATGCAAATTGCTTGTATTGGGAGTTGGCCAATCAATTGTATGCGAATTAGCAGGGCAGTTAGGCATTGTCTATGTGAATTTGTTGTGTTGTTAGGCAACCTATGCAAATTTAATTTGTAGTTAGGCAATGTCTATATGCAAATTAGGTGTTCAGTGCAATGTCTATGGTAGTTAAGCAATCAATGTTTGCATGTCAATGTGTAGTTAGGCAATATCTGAAAATTTGGTAGCATGCAAATTAGGTGTGTAGTTAGGCAATGTATATATGCAAATTGGCGATAGTTAGGCAGTTTCTATCCACAAATGTAAATATTACACTAATGGTATATTAGTCACTACTCACTACCAACATTATTCAAATTTAAGAACAAAATATTTGACTAAAAAGTGTTTCTATTGTAGGGATACTCATGTGGAAGAAAATATTTCAAATAAAATCGCAATATTTTAAAGAAATATCTGGGTAAAACAAGTCTGAATTTGAAAAAAATTAAACTAGCCATTAGGTCAATAGTATGTGTCTATTGTCTGTATCAAAGAGAAGTAGCTGATATTGTTGGTGACGTAAAGGAATATATAGATTTCAAAAATATTACACATTTAAAAAAAAATTAGTAAATTTACTAAACTTTCTATAAGGAATATTATGTGTTGCTATTGACTGATTATGGAGGCAATAACACACAATGTGTTGCTATTTACTGATTGGGGAGGCAATAACACAATGTGTTGCTATTGACTGATTGGGGAGGCAATAACACACAATGTGTTGCTATTGACTGATTGGGGAGGCAATAAAACACAATGTGTTGCTATTGACTGATTGGGGAGGCAATAACACACAATGTGTTGCTATTGACTGATTGGGGAGGCAATAAAACACAATGTGTTGCTATTGACTGATTGGGGAGGCAATAACACACAATGTGTTGCTATTGACTGATTGGGGAGGCAATAAAACACAATGTGTTGCTATTGACTGATTGGGGAGGCAATAAAACACAATGTGTTGCTATTGACTAACTGGGGAGGCAATAAAACACAATGTGTTGCTATTGACTGATTGGGTAGGCAATAAAACACAATGTGTTGCTATTGACTGGTTTTGGAGGCAATAAAACACAATGTGTTGCTATTGACTGGTTTTGGAGGCAATAAAACACAATGTGTTGCTATTGACTGGTTTTGGAGGCAATAGTACATCAATGTTTTGCTAGTAAAAAGTTTGTGTGATACCAAATTACCAAATTGAAGTTTTTATTTTATCTTTTGTTTTCTTTTCCATTTATCTGTATTTATTTCTATTTTTGCAATAATTTTAGAATAGATTGCATGAATTGCCAATTTTAACATTGTTTCCATGACAAAGTATTTTAATGTATTTTTTGTACATTTTATAGCAGACTATAGCATTTATATGTAAATTACATAGTATGTATTTTAGTAGATTGAACTTTATTTGTGTCCATGTTTTGCAACCTTATCTCCCTGTAATACTTATGGAATATTCCAACTGCCCTGCACATGTCACTTTATTCTAAATGACGAAATTTTTGTCAGTTTTTAATAAAAATTCTATTTATGCATAAATATCTAGTTGTCTGTATGCCATGTGTCTGTATG